TACCAACACTTTTGACCTACTCAACAACTCATTCTTATTGGTCTTTTCTACGTGTTTGGAATCAAATGGTGTTGCTTAAGGTCTTTTCTTTGGTTTGGAGAAAGTTTCATGATGGGTTACTAATGAAGACTAATTTGGACAGGCATGGTATAATTAACAATTGTGGAGGAAATAATTGTAGCAAGTGCTCAACAAAGGAAGAAAATACAAGTCATTTGATATTTGAGTGTTTACATTCATAGAAAGTATAGTCAGTATAGTCACGTTGTAATTCTTGGTGGTGTTTTATTAGCATCACTTGTAGATGTTCAAGTACACTTTAAATAGCATGCTAATCAACAATAAGGAATGAAGTGAGGCTTGGATGATGGTCTGGTTTGCAACATTATAGTCTTTACAACTCCAAAAGAATCAACTAGTATTTAGCAATGACAAGTTCAAGTGAAAGAAATAATTAATGGAACTTATCAAATACAGATCATTTTACTGGTTAAGGGCCAAATTGAAGCTTGATTTGTCCTTGAAGGTGTGGAAATTAGATCCAAGGTGTGCTTTAACAATGAGATAACTTTGTTCTAATCTAAGTATAAAGGAAGTTGTGGCTGAAGTTAGGTTATATCATTATTGTGTAATGAAAAATTATTGGTACATACTTGCTACAACACATTTTTTACACTTGTCTAGTTTAGCTATTAAGATATAATATAAATGTAGTCTGATTCATTTAGTTTTTTGCATCTTGTATGTACAACTATATCTTTAAGTTGTCTGCCTTTAATTTCGTATCATAAAATAATAATTTTTTAATGGATATGTTGTGTAATATATTGAATCAGAATATGTACCAATTAGTGTCCTTATGTAATAGATAAGGAACAAATGAAAGATTTATATGCTAGTATTGGTGTAAGGGATGTACATGGGTTAGGTACTCCTTGTGCCCATTATTAATTTTTGTTTACCAATAAAAAAAAAAATCCATTATTGAGCTAGCAAGTATATTACTTCTAAAGCTAATGTATGAAAAGATGTTTTTCCAATGTGTATTTTAAGGGAATAAATTAAAGGTATATTTATTGTATCATTTTCATATTAATTAATATAAAAAACACCAATATTGATTTTAACATCTACCTACTTAAATTAATCCAAGTGGTAATAGTGCTAAAATTAATATCAATTTTCATAATTTTTTATGTAAATTAATACAAAAAATATATAATAAATACATCTTTAACCTATGTCTTAAACTATATAATAGAAAAATCCAAAAACAAAACATGACATTGATAGTTGATCTATAATTTATTGAACTACATCCTGAATAACCATTGTACATTGAGTCATAAGTTTGCCTTCTGTTATTTTTTTTCTTCCTTCATTTTGTTACGGGGAATGCTTTTGATAAGATGATTCCAAAAACATTATCATTAAATTTCATTTGTTGATGGGTTTCACATGTGGGTTTAGGGTTTAAGATTTAGTAGAATATATTTTTTTTGAAAATTTTATTTGAAGGACTTGTTGAAAATATACATTCAATTAATATTTTTAAAAATCAACAATCAATTGTTGAATTGAAACTATTTTTTTAAAATTTTATTTGAAAGACTTGTTGAATACCTTCAATTAATATTTTTAAAAATCCACAATCAATTGTTGAATTGAAACTTTTATTGATATAAATCATTTATGTCAACTTTCATATTAATCTAGTACTTATAATCTGTTAATCAAATATACTTTATTTATTAACATATATTTAATGGTGTTAAATATGTTAACAAAATTTGGTATAATAAACAAAGTACTTAAATCTATTAGAGTTATCTAAAAATTAACATGTATTACTTATATAAAGATAGAACTTTTAATCTAATAAATAATTTTTCAATATATTAATTAAAATATAATTTAAATAATCTCTCTCAATTTCCGTTTTAAGAGAACAACTTGCAAATACGTTTTCATTTATACATTACATAATAAGTAATTCGATTAATGACCAGATTCATTGAATTAAATGGTATATTAGGGTAAAGAAAATATTACTTTGTTATTTGATTTATCCACTATAATATTAAATTAATTTATATTTTACAGACGAATTGTACATTAAAAGTATAGTTTATCATATAAATTTACTAAAATACCTAGACCTGGCAATTTTTTATCCAACTCGCTAACCCGTTCGTTATCCGCCCGTTTAAAACGGGTTATGGTCATATATTTATGACCCGTAACCCGTTAATGACCCGTTAAGAGAACCCGACGAGTCAAGGGTCAATAATGGGTTGATCCACCAGGTTAACGGGTTTGACCTGTTTACCCGTCTAAAAATTAAAAAATTTTTAATTTATTATTTATTATTTTTGTTTTTCAATTCCCAATCTCATCTAAACCTCTAATAATTGAGTAATTTTCTCTAATTAGCTAATTGATTCTCTTAACTCATCATCTTCTAAAAGTAAAAATAATCACACTCCAATTATGACTCACTTACCGACCTTTTCTATTCTTACTTGCCGTAATACTCTCTAAAACTCTAACTCTTCAAAGTTCAAAATCTTCTCATATTCTTCAATCTCCATAGTCCATACAACCTTCGACATTCAAGTTTCGACTCCACCTTTTCTCTTTGGTCTTTAACATTATCTCAAACTTAGATCTTAGTCTCATCAAGTCACCATTGCATCCACTTAACCCTTTCTTCTTTCTCCTTTGAGTTTGACAAGTGCTCTCTTTGTCACCAACTTTTCTCTTTAAAGCCTTCAAGGGAAGTTATTTACTTATTTATGCTTTTTAGTTTTCTCTCCATTCCAAGTAAAAATTCTACTTGATCTTGTCCTTTGCTTAGATGCATTCAATTGATTAATTCTTTGAAAGCAACGACCAGAACAAATATGTTCCAATGAGGTTTGTGTTTTTTGGTTGTCATGCTACTACTTTTTTTCTTTTTTTTTTTCGCTATTGAGATTTATAAATGTGTGGTGTTCTTGAATTTGATTAATGTCGTTCTTTGAAAGGAGGTGGAGAAGATGATTCTAAAAAACTATAAATATGTATACATTAAATTAAAGGGAAAAAAATTTTTTTTTATAAGATGTTGAATTTTTTTTAAAAATCTTTTAAATAATTTTCTTTAAATGATAATAGGTACAAATTATAGAAAAAAAAATTTAATTGGGTTAACCCACTGGTTGACCCGTAATCTGTGGTGGGCGGGTTAGAGTCTGCCTTTGGTGGGCGGGTTAGGGTTTGCCTTTATTGACCCGTGACCCGTTTTAACCCAACCTGTGACCCGTTTTAACCCAACCCGTTTTGATCTGTTACACGTTTTGACCCAACTCTAACCCGACCCAACCCAGCCGTTTGCCAGGTCTAAAAATACCTTTAATTAGATAATATAAGAAATAATTTTATTAAGGGTATTTTAGTAATTTCATAAGACGAATTGCACTTTCAAGTTGTGTTTGGAAACATGTATTTATATTTAAGGTGGATAATTCAAATACATATATTTAAAATACATGTATTTCAAATATATACATTTTAAAATATATTTTTTGGATTTGATAAAAAAATAATTGAGTATGGTTGAAAAATCACAAACAAGTATTTTTCTCGTCTTTCAATCATGCTTTGTCTCAAAGAATCAACACACAAAGACCAAACCAAAAAGGAAAAGTGAAGAAGAAGAACCAACACACAAAAACCAAACCTAAAAGGAAAGAAGAAGAAGCAACCTTAGTTGTATTGAAAACTAAAGAAACACTTATATTTATACACCCCATTAATTATAGGAGCAACCTCACTTGTATTGAAACATAAAGAAACACTTATGATTATACACCCCATTAATTACAGAAAAAATTTGATTATTGCATTAAAGATAATCACAAACCTCATTACAAAATCCAAAATAATAAAAATCCAGATAAAATTTCAGCCCAAAAATCCAAATTGAAAGAACCATTCACATGAGAATTGAAATGCCCAAGTTCTAGTATCAAGGTTCTAGGAGAAAACATGAAGAAAGTGAAACATGCAGGTGCTAAACTTTATGAGAAGTTAAATTAAATACTTGAACTCTAATGATTTTTTAGATGCGTAGTCAAATTACTGATATAGGAAGATAAAATCCCTAGCAAATATTAAGAATATAAAAAAAATTATCAGTATAAGGCAAGCTAGAAAAAGGAAAATGTCACGCCCCAAAACCAAGAGTGAAACAGACACCGTGCACTCGTGAACGGGTCCCACAAAAGCACAAGGCTCGGAACTAGGGATGGCAATTTACCTCGATCCTCGCGGGGCCCCGTGGGGATCCCCGCCACGGGGACGGGGCGGGGAGGAATATTTCTCCCCACGGGACGGGGATGAGGAGTATTTTCTCCCCGTGAAAATTCACAAGGCCCCATGGGGATCCCTATCCTCGCGAAAAATTAAAAAAATATGTAAATTAGTTTTATTTTAAATTTAATTCAACCTTCAAATCTAAATCCAATTCAATCAAATTTAAATTTAATCCAATTTTATCCAACCTATTATTAACCTTTTAGTTATTTATGTTAGATTGATCTTTATTTATGTTTGGATAATTTATATTTAAAGAATTTTAATTAATTATACTTGAATTTTTAAAATTTTATTTATTATAATTGAATATTAATTAATTATATGTAAAAAATTTATTTTTTTATATTAATTGGTGGGGAACGGGGATGGGAGGCAAAATTTACCCCCCATTAAAAATCCCCGCAGGGATCTCCATCCCCCTCGTTCGCGGGGATAGGGACGAGGACGGGGAGGGACTCCTCGGCCCTGCGAGGCCCCATTGACATCCCTACTCGGAACTTATTGTGTTCATAATTACCAATTTACATAACTTAAATCCAAAAACTCGGTTAATATTTAGCTTTCCATTTTCAAAAAATTTACTAATCTACATGTACAAAAGTTTATAAAACAGTCATGGCTATAACTAAGGAAAGTTTAGTATACAAAAAAATGATTTATCATTTCATATCTATGACAAGCATGTCTGGCTAACGGCCTAAGCCCAAAAAGGATCTAAGTTCAAAATACTGACTAGTCGTCTAGCTCGTCACTCCCCCTGGTTAACCGTGCCTTGGGTCTCACTTTCTAAAATGGTAGACAAGGAAAATTATGAGATAAGATATCTCACTAAGTAAAAATATGGATAGCCCGTGAATAAAATTTTAGCATGCCAGATAAACAATTTAACATAACAAAACGTTCAATGATAAACCGTTAATGTAGAACAAGATTCAGCAGTAGTCTCATCTATAAGTCATGGCCAGTGTTTAACAAACTTCCACTGATAAGCGTCAGTAATAACCAATGTATTAGCCCATTGGCAGGCGACAGTAATAATCAATGTATTATCCCATTGGCAGGATTACAGAATGAATCGATCCTATTGGTAAACATGTCGAAATGTGCTAGCATTTCAAACTCCCACTAGCGGGCGTCAGTAATCAGTAATCATGACTATATTAGAGACAAAACTATGCAGGATTTACAGGAAAAATTCGTAACTCACAATCAATCTCAATTTTAAGAATAAACTGAAAAAATTCCATGTGAGCATAGATTTAATAGGAAAATCAAAATTTACAAAAAAATTTTAAATCATCAGGGCAGTTAAGTAAACTCCAAGTAAGCATGCTCTACTCAATGAAAATGAAAATAATTCCATTTCAAACCAATCATGCTCGGTGCTAATAAAATCAATTTAAACCTTGCCACCATCTCAAAAACAATTTAAAATATGCTTTTACTTTGAAATCGAAGGGTATTACCATAATTTACTTACCTCAGTCGCATAACATAGAAAACTCACTCCAAGTGCTAGGGTGACAGAACAATCAAGAACCTAGCCAAAATATTCCAGAATTAATAACCATATGACCGAATATCTCAATTTTATTCTCAATATAAACTAAACATTTAAACCCTCCTATTGTTGGCCATTAATCCCATAAGGAAATCTTATTTCTTTATTTATTTATTCTTATTTTTCTTCTATTCGAAATTTAAGCACAAAAATCAGATTGTGCATTTATATATGTGCATAAACACACATATACAAAATTCTCCAAATTCACGAACAACATGGAGGAACCGGCTTTGGCAAAACAATAGCTAATTTCACGAAATTTTCTCTAGAACCTCACAGTAGCTAATTAATACCCAATCACATAAATTCTACATGAATTAAGCTTAATTTTGTTCTAATTGCTGCCAAAATTCATCCCTTATGTCAGCAAAATTCGGACAGCATAGGGGCAGCAAATAAATGGATAATTTCAGCAACTGATGGGCAAATGGGAGCTTAGATGGAGCTGTCACATACCAGAAAATTCAGCAAGCAAACCGGAGCTGCAAGTTAGGGGAAGCCGGCTGGAATTGGGGGAGAAAATTTCAGGATCTACTAGAAATTGGGAGAAACCAAAAGAAATTAGAGTAAACCCAAACCAAATCAAGGGAGAAAAGAGGAATTAGTGGCTGTTTCCCTTACTAGAAACCAGAGAAAATCACACCCACACAGCAGAGCAACGGACGTAGAGGAGGGCGCAGAGCAGATCTAGAATTTTTTCTGCAGAGGGGAAAGATTTCAAGGTTCTAAATCTTGTTCTTGAACAAGAAAAGAAGGGAAAAAGATCAAGCTTTTTACCATTTCTCAAGTAGGTGAGTGCTGTCGAGGCTTGGGCTTCTTGTTCGGTGCAGGGGAGAAGAAGAAGAGCAGAACGCGCGGCTGAAGAAAGAAAGAAAGAAGAAAAAAAATCAGCCGACCTTATCCAATTTCTTTTCTCTTTTAAGTCCCTCAAATTTGAAATTTTGATAATTAAGCTCAATAATGTTATTTTTTCACAATTAAGTCCATAACCCACACTTAATTATTCTAGAAATTTTTGGGGTATTACAGAAAAGTTGGGAAACAAAAAATTCGAGCTTAAAAGAGTACAAGCTACCAAGAGAGATGAAAAATCAATGGGTAGATGGGATTATGAATGCAATTATAAAATGGTTTGAGGGATTAATGATTAAAAGAGGGAGAGCCATCAATCGAAGCTTCATTAGCATTATGATTTGAGAGAGATGTAGCAACATTGTTGACCTATTGATAGGGGGATTTGATTGAAATTCATCTTGAAATTGAAATTCTTGGGTAAAAGGAACAATTTCAAGTACATGGCTTTTAATCTTTGAAATAAATAGTAATAAAATATATGCATTTCACTCAAATTTAATTACATTTTATTTAAAGATAACCAAATAGTGATATTGAAATTACAGGCCTCAAATTCAAAAACATTTTTTTAAATTCACATTCCCAAACCCCTTGTGGGGAAGCCCAGGTGCTCTTTTTTTTTTTTTCCCCACTTATATTTAGAATGAAGAATAATTACATTTGGAAAAAAAAATTTGTTACACTATTTATTTTTGTCCAAATCCATTTGATGTGCTATGGTGATGAAGTTATAAGAAAAATTATGTTCTCATCTAAAATTTCCATTTCCTTTGGTGAAAACACCACTACGAAAATAGGCTTAAAGTTTAGTTTTAGTATATTGGGCCTATTAATAAATTTTGCTTTGTAGGTTGCGTGACTACTTTTTTGTTAAAATACTAGTAATATTAGGGGTACTAATAACGGCCTTCACTCCTTTACTACAATACCTAGTCCTCTCTCCACCCTTACATTCTTTCATGTTATCTACCAATTGTGTAATGATGATGCTATGCACTATAACACAAGTTGTTGATGTAAGCTTCCAAAGAGTTGGTTCCAACTCTAGTGCACACCTCTGGAATGAAATTTTGAGGATTGTTTCTATCCTGATGGGTTCATTAGTAGTCATTTCATTCCTTCCATTGATAAATTGTATATTGCTTTCTTCTCCTTACAAGTGTGGCTCTTCCTTGCTATACACCTCATTATTAGTCTATCTTGCAATATGGGTGTTCACATCCGATCCAATCTGATAAAAAATTGAACCAAACCGATATAAAATTGAGTTGGTTTGGATTATAGAATTTTAAAACTGATATAATTGGTTTGATTTGTAATTTTACTTTTAAACTGTTCGAACTGCCCGATTACAGAATAAAATCTGATTACATAATAATTTAATTAAATAATATAATATATTTTTTGTAATATTTAAATTTTTTTTCTTATTTTATTAGATAATAACTTCATTAACTTAATTTAAAAATTTTTTGTAATATTTAAAATTTTTTTCTTATTTTATTAGATAATAACTTCATTAACTTAATTTAAAAATAAAAATAAAATATCATTATATTCTC